CAAAAAAAAACAACAACAAAAAACAACAAAACAACAAGAACAAACCCATATACACTGTTGTAAAGTACATCCCCCGTGGCAAAGTTTTGACACGTACAAAACCATTCATCAATCCCGGCCACTGACAGACCAGCCAGGGACTGACAGACATACCCCGAGACGAACTCCACACCAATCAAATACTTGACAAACCACCCACGTCAAAACGTTAAACTCACAAAGTCAGCGTTTGGGAACTTGCAAAATATTATTATGAGAAGCTGTAACTACCACACCCCACCCTCAGGACAAACAAAAAACAAAGTTTTATTAAGAATTTAACGGCGTTGGCACCACAATTACATCACATAGGTGCCGAAGGCTTAAGGTGTTACCAGAGAGTAACCTACAATGAAAATAAGGAGGACAGATAAGGACGACAGGTGTTTGACAGAAAGAAGGAGCAAACCACACCAGAGCACCCATCAACCACCCAGCAGAGCTGAAGAAAGGTCGTTGTGCATAAAAAGCCATACAAGATTTCCAGTGTCTGTCACTTTCTTACATATTATCCAACCTATTACAGCTTCAATTGTCTTTTCTGTTTTATAATGTGGCTGTTTTTACGCCCCCATCAACACAATTTAGATCAATAAGGAGGCGGGCTTCATCCCTGTCTGTCAGGGCCGACCTGGGCTGAGAGGGAGACAAAGTCCTTGCAGAAAGATCGGAATGCTTGAGAAAAATTATCTCCACATGAGAATCATACTCGAGTCTCTTGCGCACAACACAGCGAAGCACCAAACCGCTACACCACAGGCACCCGTCCAAGATATTTCCAACAGTCTCTTAAGAAACCCCATCTCTGTTGCGTCTCGAGTCTTTCTTATTGGAACCAGAAAAGAAACAAAAAACAAAAACCAAAAGAAAAATAAAAGCAAAACAAAAAAAAATATTTCGTTTCAGAAAGTTTTACGGCACTTGCAACACAATCAGGTCATTTAAGTGCAGAAGATTAGAGGGGATTACAAGAGAGTAACACACACAAAAAAGAAGGAGGAGAGATCAGGACGACAGATCTTGAAGTTTGACAGGAACAAGGAGCAAACCACACCAGAAAACCACCCACAAAAACATTTAAAAAACAACAGATCACATCCTTGTGAAAAAACAACAGATCACACCCTTGTGAAAAAACAACAGATCACACCCTTGTGAAAAAACAACAGATCACACCCTTGTGAAAAAACACACAAAAGCAAAAAAACAAACAACAAACAAATAAAAAACGAAAACAAAACAAAAACAAAAACAATATAAAGTAACTCCCCCCTCCCCCCCTCCCCCCTTCCTAAAAAACCCAAAAGAAAAAACAACAACAACCAAAAACCCAGCTTCCCCAGGAGTGTATTATGAACTCACCCAGCATGCCCCTCATCTTGACCCTCTGGTCCTTGGTGATGCGCACGCACCCGTTGTTGTACACGTCTGCCACAATCTGACAGTAGATCAGGTGCAGCGCCATCGGGTTCTCCAGCTTCTCTGACGGCCAGAACACTTCCTTGCGGATGTGCAGCGTCCATGGAACCTGGTGCAAGCGGGAAAGTGGAGAGATTTGATTAACAACAGTTTCAACATTTCTCTCTCTCTCTCTCTCTCTCTCTCTCTCTCTCTCTCTCTCTCTCTCTCTCACTCACTC